AAATTACTCTGAATTAAAAACACTGATCATTTATTGAACAGGATGGAATCATTTCAGATTTAAAGAACTTTCAGAAGTTTGAATCTGATTATTAGCAGACTTTTCCTTTAAAGCAACAGGAACGCGGATAGAGGCCCCTCTACCTCTAATAATAACTGACTGTTAAGGAAGGCTAGAAAATGGCCGTTACATGATTTCTATTCTGTTTCTAACATTTTAAATAATTTTAGTAAAATAATTTAACTTTATTGAACTCATGCTGGAGAAATTCCCTCTCTGCATTTAACCCATCCCCTTAGGGAGCAGTGGGCTGCCATTGTGCAGCTCCCGGGGAGCAGTGTGGGGTTAAGGGTCTTGCTCAGGGACCCAGGAGGCAGTGGGGATCAAACGGGGTACTTGCAACCCTCTCAGAGCACCACTCTAACCACTATGGGGTAAAATGCCAGGAGGGTTGTGGATAAGCAGTCAGGCCTCCTCAGCCTGTCTGACGAACTGCTGCCGACACAATCCAACTCATTTCTCCTTTGACAGGTCGGTTTGGAAATGAACCAGATTATTTTATTCAGTTTATTTGCAAGTTAAGGTGGAAAGCTAAAAGTGTGGAGTAACATGCCCGTTAGAGAACAGGATGGAAACATGAGTAAATAACCTGGTCAATAATTCATTTATAATATTAGCAGAATATTCAAGAGGTGATAATATTTCTTAATATAAGCATAAACACACATTTATATGCTTCTACCAAATTCATTTGTTATTAATCTCCTTTCCTCTTTAATATTTTAATGACTGACTTGAAAAATTGGATTTAAATACGGCTCATCTTCATCTTCATCATGTCAGGTGGACGGTCGTAAAATTGATCTCTTTAAATATCTTAAGCTGGAAAGTAAAAAAAAAACCTTGAGATAAAAGCATAAACCAGCAGACTGCTGTCATCAGTGCTGTTCTCACCAACTATTAAACACAGATGTCTCAGAAAACATGATAAAAAATCTGAATCATCACACATTTAGCAGAAGGAATCTGATTTTATTCAAAGCAGCTGGATTATTTCAGCCATTTTTAAATCAAAATAAAGACTAATATTCTTACTGTAGGTCTGTAGAAATATTAAAGCTGTATATGAATTATAACCAAATCCACTAATTAGTTTTCATTTCTGACTCAAGTTTGTTTTAATCTGATATCTTAGCATTTCTGGGAGCTATATATAAATTTGGATTGAATAGTTTTGTGTTGATTATAATTTCTATTTTATGAAAACCCCTAAAAATGAATATCGTTGGAGAGTTTTGCAATTGTTTTATGTCCTTCCCTGCTAAGATGAAACAATTCTGTTAAAGTAACTAAATATTATTGAGTAAATACCAAAAACGGATGGATTATTGTTTTCATCCTGTTTTTGGTTTTAGGCAAATAGAACTTAATGAAACCAGAATGATTTTCAGCACCTAGAAGCAGCTTCTGATGCTGATCTGCACACATGAATGAAAAGAGGCAGATCAGGTGATGCAGCTTCACCTCATCCAGCAGCAGCAGCAGCAGCAGCAGGGAGGTCTGCTGACGGAGATGCTCCTGATCAAACCTCCAGGTTTAGATAGAAATCTGCTTCTCTGCCCAGCAGGATGCAGCTGCAGCAGGAAGAGGCAGCATGCAGCTGCGCGCGCGCCGAAACAAAACAAATGCCTCTTTAACTGCCGCATGCATGCGATGCATCTGATGATACTCAGCCTCTCTGATGGAGGCGAGATTCATTAAAAAATTACAGGTTTATCAAGATCCTCTCTAAAGCGAGATAAACATAAATCCTTTTTTTTTTTTTTTTTTTAGAAATATTAAATCTAATTTCTTTGTAGAATAAAATCCCAACCCAGAACAGCTTCTTCCTGACATATTTCTATCCCAGCGGATGGATGCTGCTCAGGCTGAGGAGCGAAGTTAAAGATATTAAAATGAGGAAAAGATGAGTCTGAGTTGCATGAGAGGCGGGAGGATGGATGTGGTTTAACTGGCGCTGCTGGATGCTGAGTTGGAAGGAGTGAAAATGCTGCAATGCTCAGATACATTTAAATCCTGTTTTTGCAAAAGGAATCTGCTCCCCAGCGCTGCCATCACGCATCGGGCACGAAACGCCCAAACCAGAGGCTGGAATGCTCCGCAGACAGCAGCCATGCCAGGCTCTGGCTCACACTGACAAACAGAAGCAACAGGCGACATCAGAGCTCACCTGCTGGCAGCCTGCACCCGGCCGCCCGGCTGCTGGGGGAGGAAGGTGCTCTTCACAGGAAGGAGCTCACACAGCTTTGCAGGAAGCCTGGTCCTCCAGCTGCTCTCCTCCTCCTCGGTGCGTCTGCATGTTTCACTCCGTTCCTCTCACTATAAATCACCGCAGCGGAGTAAATGGCAGGCAGGGAGGGGTTGGCACCGTGTGACAGAGACGACCTGATCTCCAGGTTTCCCTTCACCACCGAGCAGCCAGCGCCTTCTCCCAGTTAGACCCAGTTCAGCCCAAAGAAGAGGGAACTTAAAGCCCAGATTGATTCTGCAGAGGCTGAGATCAATCAGCAGGGGCGGTTCATGCATCACCGCCGCCCAGGGCAACCCCCCACCACCCATGGAAAAACTGCAGGTCTATGAACTGCCATCACTGTTCCTACAGTTAAAAACAAAAAACATGAAGGAATAGGAATTTATTTCAGACAAATCTTGTCAAATAATAAATGAATCATCCAATTACACACAACAAATTTCAAAACTAACTAAATTAACAGAAACAAAAGGCTCCACCAAAGAAACCTGTCAGCAGAAACAGCTGAAGAAATGACATCGATTAAAGGAAAAGTCGCTCATATTCAGAATTAAAACTCCTGAAAGTCCTTTAAACATTAAATTATTACATCCTGTTCAATAAATGATATTTGGGCAAAAATGGCCGCTCTCAGACTCAGTGATCACAACGAGAATTATTATTTTTATTTTTTTACTGATTAACTCTAAATTCATTAAATCACTTTGAACGTATTAGTTTTAGGTATAAATAATGATCCATTGATTATTCCTTGTCAAATTGAACTATTTAATTAAATAAAGGCAAGTAAAAGACAAGGGCCTCATTATGAACACTCAAAATAACGTCATTTTTAATTAAGTTATCCAATACTAATCCTGAAGTAATGTAACTTAAAACTTCTCAAACTTAAAGGATCAAATTTGAACCTAAATCAAACACCCAGTATACTTTCTGGAAAGGAGGCGTGGCCTCTCCTTGTCATGATTCCAAGGATCTGCATAGACTCTAAAGCCAGTCGCAAACACAGATTGAAAGAATCTTTAATTAGGAAATCAAAGCGGTTCTCAGACATCAAACTGACATCAGGAACCAGGAAACACTTCAGGATCTCCAACACCGTGGAAGAGATGAAAGGTAAGTTTGGTGGAAGGAAGATCTCAATATTCAAAGGCTTGGTCAGGCCTGCTTTGTATGGGGTTCCATTTGTGCCACAAATGTGTTCCAGCGTGTTGTGAAGTGTCCATTTGTCGATTTAAGGATTTTTTTCTGACATGCTCACGTAACAGAAGCTGTATATCTAACAGGTAGTTGTTTATATATCAGA